AAAAAAATCTTACCCATAGATTTTATGTGCATGTATGTTCACATGCATGTGTTTAGATGTGAATCTCTCTCTGTGTGTCAGATATAAACGAGTGTGCGCTGGATCCTGATATCTGTCAGAACGGCGTGTGTGAGAACATGCTCCGAACATACAAGTGTAACTGTAATCTGGGCTTTGAGGTGGACATCAGCGGGAAGACCTGCATCGGTCAGTATCTCTGCAGACATTAGCGTGTGAAGGGCGCAGACGTCTGCCATGTTATAATTACATAAAAATACAGTTACATTTATATTAAATATTAATATCTATACATATAAACATTTAAGAGGTGTATGCCTAAAACTATTTCTTACTTTTTTCTTATTATTTTTGGGTGAATAATGAACCGGTTATGTTCTTTGTGAGACTAATTCATGTATTTTACCTGCATGTACGTTCACGTGCGTGTGTTTAGATGTGAATCTCTCTCTGTGTGTCAGATATAAACGAGTGTGCGCTGGATCCTGATATCTGTCAGAACGGCGTGTGTGAGAACATGCTCCGAACATACAAGTGTAACTGTAATCTGGGCTTTGAGGTGGACATCAGCGGGAAGACCTGCATCGGTCAGTATCTCTGCAGACATTAGCGTGTGAAGGGCGCAGACGTCTGCATCACGCATGTGCGTCTGTGTTTCAGATGTGGACGAGTGCATGATAAACAGACACCTGTGTGAGAACGGCCTGTGCAGAAACACACCGGGCAGCTTCACCTGCCACTGTCCGAAGGGCTTCACCTTCCAGCCCGAGACAGAGGTGTGTGAAGCAGCTTCCAGAAGAGATCAGATGCGCTAAAACATTAGTCACATTTAAATGCACACTCAAAACTCATCTGTTTAGCTGTGCATTTATTGAATGAGCACTGTGCGATGTCATGTTTTCAGCAATGTTTTCAAATTGTTGGCACAGAAAACAGGACAATAGAAGCAGTCAAAACTAACAAAAGAGCAACAATATGTAAGTGCAAATGACAAGTCTCGGTTAGCCTAACGCACATATATACACACACACACACACACACACACACACACACTCTCTCACACACACACACACACAAAGAAAAACAAGTAGATAGAATAGAAAAAATAGAAAGCTTTTTTTTAAATAAGAAGATAAATAGATAAAGTAGAATTAAAATAGAATAGAAAGTGCTTGAGTTAGAGGGTCAAATAAAGGTGGAACGGATGTGTTTTTAGTCGTTTCTTGAAGATGGGTAAGGACTCAGCTGCTGGGATTGAGTTGGGCAGGTCATTCCACCAGGAGGGAACAGTTAATGAAAAAGTCTGTTGGGATGAACAATAATGCGTCGTTCACTTGCAGAACACTAGCTTCTAGAGGGCACTTAACTCTGAAGCAAACAGCTACTGGTAGCCAGTGCAAATTGATGAACAGAGGTGTGACATGCAGTCTTTTCGCCTCGTTAAAGATTAATTTGTAGCGGCATTCTGGATTAATTGTAAAGGTTTGATAGAAGTGGCTGGAAGACCTGCCAAGAGAGCATTGCAATAGTCCAGCCTGGACAGAATACGAGCTTGAACAAGGAGTTGTGTTGTATGTTCTGAAAGAAAGTGCCTGATCTTCCTAATGTTGTATAAAGCAAATCTGCAGGACCGGGCAGTTTTAGCAATGTGGTCTGAGAAATTCAGTTTATCATCAATCATAACTCCAAGGTTTCTGGCTGTTTTTGAAGGAGTTATGTTTGATCTGTCTAACTGGATGGTGAAATTGTGATGAAATTTGCTGTAACCACAAGCAGTTCTGTCTTAGCCAGGTTGAGTTGAAGGTGATGGTCCGTCATCCAACAAGAAATGTCTCTTAGACAAGCTGAGATGTGAGCAGCTATTGTCGGATCATCAGGATGGAATGAGAGGCCGAGTTGAGTGTCATCAGCATAGCAGTGATATGAAGAGCCATGTTTCTGAATGACAGAACCTAGTGATGCCATGTAGACAGAGAAGAGAAGTGGTCCAAGAACTGAGCCCTGAGGCACCCCAGTAGCTAGATGTTGCGACTTGGACACCTCACCTCTCCAAGATACTTTGAAGGATGTATCTAGAGATAAGACTCAAACCACTGGAGTGTGGTTCCTGAGATGCCCTTTGCCAATAGGGTTGACAGGAGGATCTGGTGATTGACCGTGTTAAAAGCAGCGGACAGATCCAGCAAGATAAGTATTGAATATTTGGAAGCCGCACTTGCCAGTCTTACGGCTTCAACAACTGAGAGCAAGGCAGTCTCGGTCGAATGTCCACTTCTGAAGCCAGATTGGTTGCTGTCCAGGAGGTTGTTCTGTGTGAGAAAGGCTGAGACTTGGTTGAACACAACTCGTTCAAGTGTTTTTGCAATGAAAGGAAGAAGGGAAACCGGTCTGTAGTTCTCTAAAAGAGTTGGGTTAACAAATAATTAACAAATAATATAAAAATTAAACTTTTTATTTCAGCTAGTTGCATCAAGGCAACATTTCTCATTTTCATTCAGTTTAAGTACTAAAATAATTAAGACTAATAAATGAAAATAAAAAACTATAAAGACATTTAAAAATGACAAAAACACACAACTAATTTATTAAAATGTTAAGATTTAAAGTGAAAATATTAAAATAAAAATTATAAAACAAATTATAATATTTCAGTGATACTAAAATAACACTCATTTGAACATTTGTGTTCTTTTATTCGACACTGCATTTGATAACACTGTTTACCATAGTACGTATATATAATAATAACATTAATATGTTAACTAGTTAGTTAAATGTAAAAATAAATTTCATTGCTAAACAAAATAGAAATAGAATAGAAAACAGCCATGTATCCGTTTTCCTGTTTATTCTAAAATACACTTTAATTGAATCAATTTGGCCGATTAGACTCTTTTGCATTCATACAAATTACTGGATTCCAATTTGTGGGCGGGATTATGTTAATTGTGAATGAGTGTGCACACACGTCCTATTTACAAATGACAGAAATTCATTAACATAACTATTAAATCAGAGGTTTATGAAGCGTTTATGAATCCATAGGACAGATTTTGCGAAGGTTGGTTTGCCATGCAAATTCTCAAAGTTTCCTGACTGTGTTTTGTGAATGTGTGTGTTTGCAGACCTGCGCACGGAGCTGTGTTACCTCACACATATCGACGAGCGCTGCGGCGCTCCGATCCCGGGCCGGCACCGTGTGGACGCCTGCTGCTGCTCCGTGGGTGTGGCCTGGGGCCCGGAGTGCGACGAGTGCCCGGAGAAAGGAACGCTGGAATACACTCAGCTCTGCCCTCGGCCCGGATTCTCCCACCGCGGAGACTTCATCAACGGCAAGCCCTTCCTGAAAGGTGCATGAGACAGACGGGCCACGTTCATTCAGACGCTTATACATTCATTCATTTACCCCGACTCATCATCATTCTGTCTCTCTGCAGATATAAACGAGTGTAAGATGATCCACAGCTTGTGCACAAACGGCCGCTGCAGGAACACCATCGGTAGCTTCCGCTGCAGGTGCGACAGCGGCTTCGCTCTGGACTTTGATGAAAGGAACTGCACAGGTGAGTTCAGACGCAGTAAATGAGGCTCAGAAACAAGCATGTGAACACGAATGTGTCCTGATGTGTCACGTAACACACAATCATTATGCCTAAATGAGGGTTTGAACAATACAAGCTATGAATGGCTCTAAAATAAAGCAGCCATGTCATGCAGGTTAGTAGCAGGTGGACCTGAACTCAGTCTAGATTCAGTCTAGACGTCATTGTCCACAGCAATATTTGATATGTTTTCTCTGATTTATCTGACAGTTTTGTTTTCAAATTTTTAAGTCAGAATTTAATTTAATAAAAAAAAAATATTTTTTAAATTTAATTTAATATAATTTACTTTTAAAATTTAATTTAGTTTTTTTTATTTAATTTAATTTAAACTTTTTTTAATTTACAAAAACTGAGAGTGTCCAGAAATTAAAATAAATAAATAAATATAATTGTAATTATAATTAAAATAACTGAATTTCAGGATTCCACTGTTAGAGCTGAATGTTCTTTAGGCTTCCTTTTAACCAATAAATCAGCATTCATTCCTGATGTGGTGGACAAGGACTTCTAAAACCTTTTTTAACAATATTTTTTACTCACAAATTCGACCTGATAAAATACTTTAGAGCTTGGCATAACTAGTAGCATGTATATTCATCGTAAAATTAATTTGGAGTTTTAATATTTTATTAATTTCCGTGACTTTTCCAGGTCTAGAAATCATGAGGCTTCCTCATAAATCCAGGTTTTTCAAGATCATGTTTATCCTGTTCCTTCAAAGACGTGTGTTTGAAGTGTGTGTGTGTTTTCACAGATATCGACGAGTGCCGCATCTCTCCTGATCTGTGCGGTTACGGCACGTGTGTGAACACAGCCGGTGATTTCAGCTGTGACTGTTTCTCCGGATACGAGAGCGGATTCATGATGATGAAGAACTGCATGGGTGAGACAGGGCTGGACCGTATAATGCAAAAAATAACATCTGGATTTTTTCAGAACATTTGAAGTTTTTTTAACGTTTTACTTGGTAGCCTAAAAACGTGACTACAGCTTGATTCAAGTCACATGAAGTTCAACATGGTGTAAACGTAAAACAAATTCACTTGTTAAATATAGAAATGATGCATGAAATATAAAGGCAAATATCATACTTAAACATATCCTACATGTTCAAAAATGTAGGCATTCGGTTTTAGAGGTCAACTCAAAAGGTCAAGACGATTCAAACTCTTCCTCACTGCAGCAGTAGATGATTGTTAACAGTGACTGAAAACAGCGGCAGCTTTCAGTCTGTCAGCATCATGCACACATCAAATATCAGGCATACAGTAGCAGTTTCCATTGCTTTTCTATAAACACTGTAGACATGGTGTTAAAGTGATAGACACAGAATCCCAATAATCCTGCTCTGTCGTCTGCTTTTCTAATGTTGATCAAAGAAAAAAAACAATCACTCACTGCTCTTAAACTTTAAAAAAGATATAAAGACTATAGTGTTATTTGATTAGCAGAATTACTAAATTTCTGTAGGCTAGCTTTAATCACTGTTAGACCTGCCTGACATGCACCGTTTCTATATCTTTATTGTATAGTTGGCTATTTTGTGCTATTGCTTGTAATTTGATTTGCTCTTATTTTACAACTGACTATTTACTAGTCTCTGAAAATGTAGCCTATTTAATTTATATTGGTTAAGCTACTAGTTTTAGCAGGTATCGAAACTGGAATCAAGGATTGTGAAGTTTTGGTGTCATAATTGCCTGTTTATTTCCCCGTGGCTGGTGAAAAAGTCACTGTCCATTGGCAGGTCTGACAAAAAGCTAGTTTTAGGTCCTGCTTACAGGTATTTACAGGTACAGGTAATATCAGAAGTGTTGCTGCTCTTAAACTTTAAAAAAGATATAAAGACTATAGTGTTATTTGATTAGCAGAATTACTAAATTTCTGTAGGCTAGCTTTAATCACTGTTAGACCTGCCTGACATGCACCGTTTCTATATCTTTATTGTATAGTTGGCTATTTTGTGCTATTGCTTGTAATTTGATTTGCTCTTATTTTACAACTGACTATTTACTAGTCTCTGAAAATGTAGCCTATTTAATTTATATTGGTTAAGCTACTAGTTTTAGCAGGTATCGAAACTGGAATCAAGGATTGTGATTTTTTGCTGTTATCTAAAGTTTTGGTGTCATAATTGCCTGTTTATTTCCCCGTGGCTGGTGAAAAAGTCACTGTCCATTGGCAGGTCTGACAAAAAGCTAGTTTTAGGTCCTGCTTACAGGTATTTACAGGTACAGGTAATATCAGAAGTGTTGTGAGAGTTGTGTTTTTGTGTTTCAGACGTCGATGAGTGCGAGCGCAACCCTTTGCTCTGCAGAGGAGGTCAGTCAACCTACTCAGAGTCGATTGAACTAACTCAATTCAGCTGATCTGAAACCGAAAACTCAGAGTTTCCCATCTCAGAGTTCAAGTTTTAACTCAGAGTTGGTTGAACCTCCTTTATTGAAATGGACCACTGATGACTAAACACAGTGAAATCACAACAAAAGGTCCATGACTGTGACAGTAAGAGCTGAATGTTCTTTAGGTTTCTTTTTAACCAATAAATCAGCTCGACTTTTCCAGTCATTCCTGGTGTACTGGATAAGGACATTTAAAATCATCACTTTTACTCAAAAGTTTTAGTATTTTATGAATTTCTATGACTGTTCCAAGTCACTGTTTACACAATATACAATGCAAGTTTTATCTGAGCAACTTAAAATAAGATCATGATTTTTAGCTGTTTGAACGTGTTTGTTTTGTCTTATTTTAACTCATCTTGAGGGTGTCTGGCTGATTGAGAACCACTGAACCACGGTGTGTGTTTCATGCAGTGTGTGTGTGTTTTCACAGATATCGACGAGTGCCGCATCTCTCCTGATCTGTGCGGTCACGGCACGTGTGTGAACACAGCCGGTGATTTCCGGTGCGATTGCTTCACTGGATACGAGAGCGGTTTCATGATGATGAAGAACTGCATGGGTGAGACTCTCACACACTGCTTTTCAGAAAGTTTGACCGGTTTAATATTTAGATTTCAATGACATTCAACCTAAAAATGTAACTACAACATGATTTCTGAAGATCATGTGACACTGAAGACTGGAGTAATGATGCTGAAAATACAGCTGCGACAGAAATACATTACAGTTTAACACATATTCACATAGAACACAGCTGTTTTAAATTGGAATAATATTTTTTTAAAAATCTGTATTTTTTGATCAAATAAATGCAGCATTGGTGAGCAGAAGAGACTCCATTATAAAACAAAAAATCGTACTGATCCCAAACTTTTGAATGGCAGTGTATATGTTCAGAAATAATATAAAACAAGAAAAATGCTAGCTATTTCTAGACATTCAGTTTCATAAGTCAACTCAAAAAGTCAAGAACACTGTCAGTGTAACGGCAGCAGCAGCTTTCAGTCTGTCAGCATCTTGCAAACATACAGTAGCAGTTCTGCACAGCTTTCTGCTTTTCCATTGCTTTTCTGTGTCAGCATGCACTTCACAGACACGTTTGACCGTTGCGTCGCGGCTCGCATCTTTTGCAACATCACAAATGAAACGGTGTCTGTTGTGTTGTGTTTCAGACATCGATGAGTGCGAGCGCAACCCTTTGCTCTGCAGAGGAGGTGAATGCATCAACACCGAGGGCAGCTTCCGCTGCGAGTGTCCAGAGGGCCATGAGATCGCTTCTGACGGCTCCGCCTGCCTGGGTCAGTGTGTGTGTGTACGAGTGTGTGTGTCTGTGTCTGTGTCTGTATCTGTGTGTGTG